AAAATTGACTTGATATCAGCCTCTAATGACACTCCTTCCCAACCCTTCTTTGTTGTTTAAAGCTGAACTCCAGAAAAAACAGCTAAATACACAAATGAAATACATAAAAGGAAGTGGTTTTACCTACCAAAGAATTTGCATTTGTCTATCCAGTCCTGAGGTTTACAGCTCTAAATCGCAGGGCAGGAAATCTGATTTTTCTCTGCTGTATTCAAGTAACACATACTGGTCTTGTCCAACCCCAGTGGAAGGATAGGCATCAGACAGATTATCTGGGACTCTGCTCTTCCCCTCTCTCAGCATGCTGCCTAATAGCATATGAGCACTGCAGCACAACTAGCTTGTCATAGACGGAGTTCACACAGGATCGGTGCCGGAAAAACTCCCTGCACCAAACCCATGCTGACACGGAAAGAAAAGCCGAGGATTTGATATCCCCACGGCTTGCTCTCCTCTCCTTGCAGGGATGACAGTATGGGCTAGACGGTTTTTGATTGGTCCGTGGCAGTGCTGTCCAATCAAAAGCAGTCTAGACCAGTGGTCGGCAAGCCGCGGCTCGCGAGCCACATGCGGCTCTTTACACAGTTTAATGCGGCTCTTCTGTGTGCCGGGCGCCCGCTCCCCTCCCTCCTCTCGGGCGGCTGCCCCAAAAGTCAGGACTCTGCAGCTAGCCCAGCAATGGGCAAACTACGGCCCGGCGGACCTTTTAATCCGGCCCGCGGAGCGTGGCAAACATTGGCTGTCAGGATGTAGGTGGGGCAGCGTGACGAACTCCTCTCCTCTCACAGTCCGCCCTGAAGACCGGAACGGCGCGGGAACACGGCGAGAGGAACACGCGGAGCAAAGGTAAGTGAATTGACACAATATGGGGAATGGGATTTACTATAGGGGGGATGAATTACTATATGGGGGATGAATTACTATATGGGGGGGATGAATTACTATATGGGGGATGAATTACTATGAATTACTATATGGGGGATGAATTACTATATGGGGGTATGAATTACTATATATGATGAATTACTATATGGGGGATGAATTACTATATGGGGGATGTATTTTCAGTTTTAAAAATGTGGCTCTCAAAATAAATTTCAATCGTGGTTTTGGCGAGATTTGGCTCAGTTGAAAAAAAAGGTTGCCCACCACTGGTCTAGACCATACTGTCATCCCTGCAAGAAGAGAAGAGAAAACCTCAGGGATTTCAAATCCCCATCTGTACCTTCTATGACAGCATGGGATCAGTGAAGGGAGGTTTCCCACACCGCTCCTGTGTGAACTCAGGCTATGACAAGCCTGGGTTCACAGAAGAGCGGGGGGAAACCTCATGTGATTTGGACAGGAATGGCACTGTATTCCTGTTCAAATCACATGCTAATCTTTGAGGTCCAAATTACACTGCAAAGTACCAGTTTCAGGTATCGGTAGCATTACCACGAGCACTCGTGAAAATACTCAGAATTGGCACCCATAACGGTATCAGTGCATTATATATATATATATATATATATATATACACACACACATACACATAAACACACATATATATATATATATATATATATACATATATATACACACATACACACATATGTTAGTTGTGCTCAAAAGTTTGCATACCCTGGCAGAAATCATGACATCTTGGCATTTATATTGAAAATATGAGTGATCATGCCAAAAAAACAAAAACTGTCTTTTATTCAAAAGACAGTGATCATATCAAGCCATTTATTATCACATCGTTGTTTGACTCCTTTTTAAATCATAACAACACAAATCACCCAAATAACCCTGATCAAAAATTCACATACCCTGGAACGTTTGGCCTTGGTACAGACACACAAGGTGACATATACGGGTTAAAATGGCAATTAAAAGATTACCTTCCCATATCTGTGACTTTTTAAATTGCAATTAGTGTCTGTGTATAAATAGCAAACGAGTTTGTTAGCGCTCACGTGGATGCACCAAGCAAGCTACATATTGAGCTATGGGGAGCAGAAAAGAACTGTCAAAAGACCTGAGTAACAAGCTAATGGAGTAGTATTCAAAGCCTTGAATATGCCAGTCAGTACTGTTCAATCACTTATTAAGAAGTGGAAAATTCAGGGATCTCTCGATACCAAGCCAAGGTCAGGCAGACCAAGAAAGATTCCAGCCACAAATGCCAGAAGAATTGTTTGGTATAAAAGGAAAAAACTCACAAGTAACCTTAGGAGAAATACAGGCTGCATGGGGAAAAAGACGCTGTGGTTGTTTCAAGGAGCAGAATACAATGATAATTGAACAAAAATAAGCTGCATGATCAAGTTGCCAGAAAGAAGCCTTCACTGCGCCAATGCTACAAAAAAGCACGGTGAGTCGTGTCAAGGTGTTGTGGGGCATATTGTAACTGGGCTTTTTTGTCTCTTTCCACTGAGGAGGCATTTCAAAATGCGTTGGGCTGTCCCTCATCCATACCTCCTTGAAGTGAAGTTCAACAGTATAATATGTTATAGGACTGGTGGAACAGTAGAGACATGTAGCACGGGCGTATATACAGTATGTATATTGTCAGCCTACAATATATATGTTTTATGGGATAGCTTTATCAACATTGTTAACACCGATGATCATTTCTGTCAAACGTTTTATCAGGGACATACTGCTCCAGTGTTAAAGAGCAAAGCAAAAAAAAAATCTTTCTGTGTCCTAAATATAGATGCTCAAAGCATCCAGAGCTGCAAAATTGTATTTATTTTAAAAGAATGAAAGTCAGTCATAACTAGATGGCCTCCGAATAATAAATCACCAAGTGGTCCAACAACAGAAAGGTTCAGGTGCCAAAGAGACCTTGCCTCTAGTCTAGACCATATTTTCAGTCTGATAAATTTTCAATCAGCACCACTGTGGGTGCAATAATTGGAAAATTACTCCCAACTGTAAACTATGGGCATAATACCATGGAGGTCAATGGAGGAGGAATACCCAAAATGGTGTCCAAATGGTCCGGTTCACACCGCCCGCATGGCCCATCCAGTGTGCCGGGAAGCTGGTAGCACCTCCCAGCCATGGGTTGCCCAGACAACACCATAAAGCCCTAGAATTGAGGCAGGGGACTGCCCCTTGAGTGGCAGGTGACACACATAATCAAGAGCTCAACCAGAGGAGACCTGAAATAACCAACCCAAAATCTGAGCAAATGCATTAAATCACATATGCAGATGTAACAATCATATACATCATGCAGAATTTAAAGTATCACAATATACCTGTAGACCATGCATATATGTTTTATGTAACAGACTTTTTAACATTGTTAGCAATAAAAGTATAAATTTTGATATGATGTATGTGTAATTGTGAGTGCCGATAAAGCCCCAATAATTTTGGTGGTATATTGGGCTGTAATGTGGAGGGATGTTGGCATCCCCTTTTGATAGAAACACCACCACGCTATCCAAGTGTTTTCCATGGGTCTGTGCAGAGAAACATATCACAGATTTACAACTGTCCATCAGGACACAGGAACTGAGGGCATTAAATCTTTACCATGTATATAAAGAATAACCAGCAATCATGAAACTTTAACAAAGCATATAATTAATTACTCACCTTACTGAATGGATGTTTTCCTGATGCAATATCCTTGATTATTTGAGGGGAATCTCCCAAATGATCATAAGTATAGGTCAAGTCTATTGCACTTCCTACCACAGCAACTTGCAGGTCATTGTGAAGCCAGCTAAATATTAAAATAATACACCAAGTGCGATTATAATTTTTGCACGGTATACAAGAATACAGGAAAAACGTAATAATCATAGAATAAGTGGTGGTAATTACTACAAAAAAAAAAAAAAAAAAACAGCTCTAATATTAGAAAGCATATAAGGTTAGATATTAAAGTGATTCTAAGTGCTTGTTTATTTATAAAAAACAGGTTCGTACTTAATTGCCCTGTGCAAGGGCCAGGGCCCACAATAGCAAACTGCTTGCTACAGGGGCACTAGTGGGTGCTTGCGCTCGAGCCCCACTCTATGCATCCATAAACCAAAGAGCCATGTCTCGGCCCCACCCCTGCTCTCTCCTCATTGGCTCACTGGCTGTGATTGACAGCAGTGGGAGCCAATGGTTTCTGCTACTGTGTCTCAGCCAATTAGGAGAGAGAGACCTGGGACAGTCAAGGCTCCCATGCATATCACTGGATCGAGAGGGGGCTTAAGTGGCTGTGGAGGGAGCAGCACACAGGTTTTTTTACTTTCATGCACGGAATGCATGAAGGTAAAAAAACCTTCAGCCTTTACAAATAACTTTAAGTTAATTAGCAACTGGCAAAATAAGTCAGCTACAATAAAGGCAAATCCATCAGCAGTTCCACATGGGAGTTCTCAAAACCGCATGCAACAACTCAGTCCAAGTTCAAAAAATGCCAAATATATAGTCCACAAAAGCAGGTGCATTGCAAACAAATGTAGAAACTAATGTGACAAGGAGAATAGTTTTAAAAAATAAACAATATATGTCAAAAAACATCTTGAAGCTCAAGGACTGGTGTGGACAGGGTCTTAATGGAAGCACCTGGGAGCAAAGCATTTATTAGATTTCCACCACCTTCACTCTGCCATAAACTGGAGTGATTTCTTCTTGGAGAGGGATAGTACAAATAGCACCACACAAAAATTAGAAATTGTAGGACTGAAGCTGATCTAAAGGCAAATGGTATCCCTGCTCCTTTAGAGCACCTTAATATAAATTGTTAGAGGTCCACGTCCTGTATTTATGGCTCTAATGTAAACAGCTTGTTTTCAAATATAAAAGCCCTAAAATTTCTAGTGCATCTGGCAGTGGCGTCACGTTTAACACTTTGTCCAATTAAATGAAGATGATTTACCTCAATTATTTAATTCATCTGCATATAATTTGAATAAAACAGGACTTTACTTTGTCTAATGTTTGGAAAATTTGAAGTGAATCTTCATTCTTGTTTTGAGTGAACAGTCTAAGCTATTTAAAATTCATACATACCTCTTCCGAACCCTTGAATTAAACAGTGTGGCTTCATAACGTGGATTAGTACCTATCAGCAGCAAGAGATCAGCTTCCTCTACACCAGCAATCCGTGAATTTAAAAGATAATTTGATCTTAGATCAGTGCTGCAAAAGGTAAATACAAAACAATTTTTATTAGATTTTTGGGAACCACGCATCAAACTGAGCTGAAACATGCAAAATTAAAGTATAACTAAAAGGCAAAACTTTTTTTTGTACTTTTGGACAGAGTGGAGAAGGATTAGAACACCTATTAGGTCTGTGCCCCATTAGAGAGATTAACCCTTTCTATTTGTCCTGTTTACCATTATCATTAAAAGTGAAAGTAAAAGAAAATCCCACATTTTCAGTTGTCCCCAGAAAAGTAATACAGAGGAAATTTTCCAGTGGGGACACTAATTCCAGTGACCTGGGGGTCCCCAAGAAATCCCCTTAATTTGCAGGGATTTCCTTCACTTCCTGTTTTGGCTATGGGACAGGAAGGGAAAGTAAATCTTTCCAATGGGACACTGATGGCAAAAAATAAACTGACGGGTTATAAACCTCCCTTTCTCTATCCAAGATGAAAAAAAAAAAAAAAAAAAAAAAGTTTTGCCTAAAAAAAGTTTTTATTTTCAAGACGTATCTATAGTTATGTAAACTGCTTTTCTTAATAATATTTTTTATTTTCAATCTATGACGTATCCATACATGACAGGTCATATCTGCTATATGTAAAACCACATTTGGAGAAACTTTTCTTAACTGTTATATATTTATAATAATTTCATATATAGACTCTGTATTCATAAATTTACACAGGATATATGCATTCAATCTATGACAGACATTATAAATGGTTGTCACCCTTGTCCTTCAAGTATTTCAGACACAGGCTATACACATGTTTATTCCCTTTGTATGCTACAGGCATACATAATGTAAACAAAAAATGGGCCTGCCATGTGCAGGGTTTATAACCATGAATTTGACACCTCTCACCCGAACTGACATAACCCTTTTCCCAACAGTAAGAACAGTTTCAATGGGATCAGGGCGAGGAAAGCTCCAAAGTGCTTTTTTGTGTTCACAGCAAACTCTAAAGCAAGTTGTCATCCACAAACTATGCAAGAAGACAAACAGGAATACTCCACATATGTAGGTAACTTGTTTGTTTCTACGCTAATGCTTTACCGAAAAGCTCTATCTGAAAACTACTACTTACTCACCAAAAGATCTGTACTGGTACTTATATAGCTCCGTCAATTTACACAGCGCTTTACAATATAATGGGTCTATTCATTTTCATCATCATCCGTCCCTAACCCATGGGTTGCAAACTTCTTGGGCGCACTGTACAATCTAAGACTCCCCAAATTTTGGTTCTCACATCACATTCTCGTCTCATACACAGACAGACACACTGCAGGTCGTCTCTCCTTTTTATCTGCTTTCAGGTTTAGACACCTGCAGCCAAGTCACACCTAACATTCTTATTTATCCGCAGTTGTTTGGAGTCCAGCGGAGGTGGGAGTCGAAAATACGGGAGGAAACAAAACATGTGAGTAATGCAATACGTTTCGTGAGAAATACAGTGGAAACCCACGCCAGACTGTACACAGGGTCCAGAGACAGCAGCCAAACTCCAGCATGTCTTTGGAGCAGGTGGTGGAAACCCACGCAGGCACAGGGTAGAACATGCCTCCATGTGGTTGGGATTTGGGAAAACCGATGACCCTTGTACTGCCAGGTGGAAGTGCTAACCATTTAGCCACTGTGCTGCCCATTATTATTATTATACAGGATTTATATAGTGCCAACAGTTTGTTACAATTTTGCACAGGGGCCTCATTTATAAAATATGATTATATCCAGCTTGTGGTCAGCAGAAAATAAAAGTACATGCATTATGAAATGTGGGGGGAAATTGACTAAAACTGGTGCACCTGTGCATAGTAACCAATCAGCTTCCAGGTTTTATTGTCAAAGCTTAATTGAACAAGCTGAAGTCAGAAGCTGGTTACTATGCACCACTGACACACACACACACACACCTTACTGCACTTTAACATAATACCATGGGCTTTAGAAAAAACTATCTACTCACATAGGTGGATGCAGCATTGATCCAAAGCTGAATCTGTCCCTCGCCAGATCTGCACAGAGAACTGAGCGATCAAACACTGGCTCTCTGCTTTTCCCGTCCAGCGCTCACTGAAATGCTGAGCTGTGGATGGGACAGGAGGGGCTGGCTCCGTCTCTCAGGGGCTCGCTGAGAGTCTGAGCCAGATGCCGGTACAGGCTTCTGGGCGGATACGGTCAGGATCTTTTCAGAGCCTGGACTGACTCTGACGTCAGCTGAAAATGGGTCAGAGGACAGGAGTGCAGAGCTAACTGAACTTCTGTGATCTAAAGGAGAGGGGCAGCCAAAAAAAGGTTTGGCTATACTTCTTTAATGGAATGACTCTGAAAGCATCAAAAGCCATCATGGGACAAAACAATTATCAGTATCAATACTAGGTAATGTGCATAACTACTAGAGATCAGAGAATATATTTTTCTTATAAATAAAAAGTATTAGGTTATCACGTTACCCAGCTCCATAATTGGGAAAGATTTCCTCAGTGCACAGACAATCAGAATTCAACTGATTAAGCAAATCTTTAAGAGCAATAAGTGCCTCGGCATCCACCAGCCCTCCAGCAATAGCTGCTACATCTTTCCCCTGGACACTTTGCAACTAAGAAAAAAAAAGGTTAAAGGTGAAATAAATTGCAGGATAATACATACAGAATAAAAAACAAACAGGATAACATTATTCCTGTGTAAAGCATTGTCTGTAAAATTTAAATCATGAACAACTAATAATACAGAGGAAGGTAAATCATTTTTAAGATAAAAATAAATAATAATAATAATAATATAGAAATTTACTTAACCACTTGCCCTCCAGAAGATTTACCCCCCTTCCTGACTAGGCCATTTTTTGCGTTACGGCGCTGCGTTACTTTAACTGACAATTGCGCGGTCATGCATTGCTGCACCTAGATGAAATTTACTTCCTTTTTTTCCCACAAATTGAGCTTTCTTTTGGTGGTATTTGATCGCCTGTGCGGTTTTTATTTTTTGCACTATAAGCAAAAAAAGACCGACAATTTTGAGAAAAAAAACTATATTTTGGACTTTTTGCTATTAAACATGTCCAGTAAAAAAATTTCAAAAATCACATTTTGTCATAAAATATAGGCCAAAATGTATTCTGCTACATGTCTTTGCTAAAAAAAAATCCCACTACGTGTAAATTAATTGCTTTACGTGAAAGTTATAGTGTTTACAAATGACAGTATAGATACTGGGATTTTTTTTTTTCTACTAGTAATGGCAGTGATCAGCGACTTTTAGCGAAACTGTGGCAGACTTTCTGACACTGGGGGGGGGGGGGGGAACTTTGTGTCACCGACATCCCCAGTGACACCAATACAGTCATTAGTGCTAAAAAACAGCACTGACACTGTAATAATGACACTGGGCAGGAAGAGTTAATGTGAGGGGTGATCAAAGGGTTAACTGTGTTAAGGGAGTGTTTTACAAGGGGGGCGGGTGGGTGTGCTTCACTGTAAGCCGACAGGGAGGAAGATTGTAAACAAAACAGTCTTCCTCCCCGTCGGTGACTGTAGGTAATCACCGGGCCCGGCGGGTAATTGACATCCGCGGCAGCGAATGGCGGCGCGCGCCCTCTACCCAGAAATGCGAAATCACAGACACACACACACATATATATATACACACACACACACGTGATTTTGTGCACCTGCTATATGGTGGTGGGTAAGCGGTTAAATGATAAGTTCACCTTTTGAAAGAAAATAATAAATGCACATTTTTGCGAGGATTTCTAAGGAGCCTGCAGAGCCTCAGGATAGCTGTCTGCACGTACCTCGTACCTATGCTACCTGAGAGCAGAAAGAATAAATGGACTATGAGAGCACTCACCATTGCTTGAGAACTACAAGTCATCAGCCGCAATAGCTGATGCTGTATTTCTAGGCATTCATACACAGGAAACTGTGACTGAATGACGCAGCCAAGTGGGCAGAGTCTCCTATTCCAGATGGAAGTGTTGAGAAGCTAGCTAAATGTTTATGCAAAGCCTGCACTGACATGACCATTACCTAAATCACCAGCAAAAAAACCTGAAGCCTTACCTAACACAGGAAGGGGTTATGTCTAAAAGGGAATTTCCAGTGCCCAATTGCCAGTGCCCAGTCATCTGAAGGTAGCAGCATAACCCTATCATGATAGAGATGAAGATACCCTATGTCCTGGGATGTACAACAGAGAGAATGATTTTCCTTCAAATTTGCATACCTTTCCCAAGCCAGTGGTTCAAAATAATAATGAAGGAGATCAGCAATGACAACCACCATTTTACTTTAAAGAGTAACTCCACTTTCATTGAGAAATAATATCTATGTATGTTGCAGGGATATAAACAAACTTTGTTGCAGATTCCTACCTTTTGTTTTTCCGAAGAAATAGCTGTTTATCTGTGTCCATGTACAAAGTGAATATGAATGGGAGTAGCTTTTTCCATTCATATTGAAGTGGCAGGGTCTGAATCCCTTTAGACATAATTAACCCTGTGGGAGTATCTTACCATAAATGAAATTTTGTTGCAGAGTATGCCCAAAATCTGATGTGTATCTTAGTGCAGACTTCTGGAAAAAACAGTGAGCCAATCACACAAACAGTTCTGTATACAGAACGCTTTGAGGTTGCCATATTGCATTGAATTTTACACTAAAGGAAAGGTAATTTCTAGAAATATTATATTACAATATGGCTTGCGTCGCAATTGTTTAGGATATATATTTTTTAATTGCAATATTTTTTTTCTCAAGAAAGTGGAGTTACCCTTTAAGGCGAGATTTACAATATTCTGTGTGCCTGTAGCGCACATGGTAATGCACACACGAAGGTGTGAATGGGCCATGGATGTTTCCCTTTGTTTTTTTTCATTTTCACTAAACTGTTGCATAAAGATGTGAGCCAGTCAAACAGGAACGAATGGGATTTTTACCGTCATGCATTTTCACATTTAATATGTTTTTATTGTAAATGTTCAGAGGACATTAACAGGGTCACAGAGTTATACAATCATACACTTGATAGTCATGTATTGAAATACAGGGCCACTTCCACTGTTCACTTGACATACGGCAAGATGCAAGAGTTTTGCTGCATCAAAATGGAACAGTGTTAATAGGTCCCAAGTACATGATCTGTATGAGGAATGCCTAAAGGGCTGGATCAAGGAAAGATCTGAGGAGGGAGAGATCCATATGACCATCCAGGCTTACATAGTAGCCCTCTATCTGCAACCTTCACCTGCATCACCTCAGGCTGATTGGAAGGAGAGCACACAGATATTTCATCCTTGCTGAACTCTGCACCAAGTTTGTTTTGTGTTTTTGCACAATATTTATTGAATCTCACCTTTTATTCATTTTTCAATTTATTAATTGGATTATTTATTTAATCATCGAAGGACACAAATTTGAATAATTTTGTACAGACTTTTATCATTTATTTTTTAATTTTTTTTTTTTATATCACCAATTTTGATATATATTTTCCTAATTAATTTATTCACTATTAACACATGTTTGGGTATTGATTGGCATTACAATCATGTATGGTTACACATAAGAGATCATGCAGCTATTAGAGATTTAATGTAAATACAGTTTTTATACTATATACAGGTAATAGGTCTTGATAGAGCGCGGCATCTATATTTTCTTCATTTGTATGCACTGATAACTCACATTTATGAGGGTGAGCAAGATAGCCTGCGATCTTATTGATAGAAGTGGTTTATTATACACCTTATTGGCTCACAAGTACATTTTTAATAATAGGTCCTAAGTACTTAAAGGCAGAAGTTCTTAAAGAGCAAATAAGAAAAAAAAAAAAAAAAAAAAAACACCAAAACACTAAATCCTTACCACACCAGCCACCCGCGTAAGTACATCTTCCCAGGAAGCGTGAACTAAATAACCTTTTTCATCTCGGATCATTGGTTGTGTCAGTCTCTGACGTTTGAGCCCATCATAAGCAAATCTATTTCAACGTAAAGCACACATATGTCCATGTTTAAGAAAGGGGTCCAAGATATTATAACAGATGCCTATCTGAGGTTTACATAAACAAGTATTTCACATAATATCAATTGTTTTTAAAAATGATTAGGCCTCTTGCACATGGTACTGATGTTTGAGCATTGTGCACATGATACATTCCTAGGCAAAATCCATTACTATTCATGCTCATTTGCCCACACCGCAAAATACTGACCAGGACCACACATTTTTCTATCTCTCTTTTTTTACTCAATGGGCTGCATGTTAGGTCAGTGGGAAAAAAGCTCAGTGCAGCATTTTTTTTAAGCTGCAGTGTGCAAGAGGCCTTCAAAAAGGTGAAAAAACAATACATTGTGGCAAATGAATATAATATTTTGAAATTCAGCTGAAGAACAAAATTAGACAGATGAGAGCTGTTGTACCTGGTTTTGTCAGAGATCCATTCCTCATTTATATCTTCATTCATTCTGGGCAAGATTCTCATCACCTCTCCTCCTCTTGTACTAACCACAATATTACTACCAACAGCATCAAGAACATCAACAGATTCTGTCTTCCTGTATATAAACACAGTGTAAAACAGATCATTTCACAGAAACACACAAACTTAAAAACAGTCATAAAGGCTTTTTTTTCCCCTAAAATAAAAAAACATTTTATTCTTACCTGCTCTGTGCAATGGTTTTGCACAGAGCAGCCCTGAACCTCCTCTCCTGGGGTCCCCTGCCAGCACTCTTGGCTCCTAAACTTCGTATACACATCTGTGGGCTCAATCCCAAGCCGGGTTGTGTGTGTCTATTGACACACAGTGCAGCTGAGCCCTGCACCCCACTCTCTGCTCACAGGGTGTGATTAACCAGGTCAATATCAGGCACTTTTACCCCCTTCCTGCCCAGGAAAATGTTTCAGGTTTCAGCGCTCTCACACTTTGAATGACAATCGCGTGGTCATGCAACACTGTACCCAAACTAAATTTTTATCATTTTGTTCACACAACTAGAGCTTTCTTTTGGTGGTATTTAATCACCGCTGGGGTTTTTATTTTTTTGCTAAATTAAACAAAAAAAGACCGAAAATTTTGAAAAAAAACAAAACGTTTTTCTTTGTTTCTGTTATAAAAGTTTGCAAATAATTGTTCTTCATAAATTTAGGTTTAAGATGTATTCTGCTACATTTCTTTGGTGAAAATAACCCAAATCAGTATTTATTATTTAGTCTGTAGGAAAGTTATAGAGTTCACAAATTATGGGATATATATCTGAAAACTGATCAATCCTGAAGTACTGACAGCCAATCTATTTTCTTGAGGCCCAAAAATGTCAGAACAGTACAGATATCCCCCAAATGACCACTTTTTGCAAAGTAGACAGTCCAACGTATTTTATAGGAGGCATGGCAAGTTTTTTTAAGTTATAATTTTGTCATAATTTTTTGGAAAATGAAGAAATTAGAAAAATAATTTTCACTTTTTTTTAAATTTTTTTTTACATACTTTCACCAGTGCAGTACAGCGTCATCATATAATTGGTATGGCGGTGATCAGGGCCACTAACTGGTGACAGTACAAAAAAAAAAATTGATAATTTTTTTTATCAATGTTTTTTATTTTATTATTTTTTTATTAAAAAAAAAAAAATTCATATTACACTCTGATCAAAAGTAGTATAATGTTACCATAGTAACATTGTACTACTTTGGGGAAGTGATCAGAATTTTTTTTTTTTTTTTTTTTTTTACACAATTTGATTGCTTATAGCAAAGAATTTATTTGCTATAAGCAAGCATTTAACTGAATGAAATTGATTAATTCAGGTTTTTTTGTTGTGATTAGCTGTGATTGGCCATGGCTAATCACATCACACAGATGGGCTGTGATTGGCCCAGCCTGTGCATGTGATCATTCACAGTTAGACACACTTGTATACAATGGATGGCATGAAAGGAAGCCATCCATTGTTTACAACTGTCATGTGACCTGCTGTGATTGGTCACAGCATGTGATATGGTACTGGCAACAGGCCGGCACACAGATCTGTCATCGGCTGTGTCCGGATTACACAGCTGGTGACAGATCTCACCACAGCACGACCCTGCGGGCACGCGCAAGGCGCAGTCCAGGAAGGACATCATATGACGCCCACCCAGATCGACGAGAGTCCCACCTGGCAGTCATTTTCCTATTGGCCATGCAGGAAGTATTTAACAGCAGCAAAAGCCAATGACTTTTGCTACTGCTTCTGTGAACAGAGAGAAGAGAGCTGCTGGAGATGGGCACAGCGCTGTATCAAGATTGGTCTCAGGTAAGTATACAGGGAGGATATAAATACAGGGAATGCATTAAGGTGAAAAATGTCTATCCTTTAGAACCAATTCAATAGTTAGTAGTTGATTTAAGTAGTTCTTGTTTATGAGCTACAGATATTGTTACAGAAGAGGAGACTACAAGATGGAGTAATGCATACCATAAGCAAGTCATCTCCATTCACTTCTCTAACTTCTGCAGCAACACATAGAAAGAAATAAAAAGGAAAAAGGCGCCTTGTACTGTATAGTCATAGGCATGTTTGCCCTTATCTCTGTTAATAAAACTTTATTAACAACCATGCAAATGTAACTTACAGAATGCTAACACACTTCATTATCCCAGCCCCTTCATTAGTATGGACAAATGAAACAGATGTACATTTAGTGTGCACAGTTAAACTTCGACAGCAGTGATGTGTCTGAAGCACATACCGAGTTTCCCAGGGCCGGGAAGTAAATGCATAGGGTTTGGAGGTTAAAGCACCGACTGGACACAGGTCTATTATGTTCCCGGACAGCTCAGACATGAACAGTTTCTCTATGTATGTGCCAACTTGCATTTCGTTTCCTCTGCCAGTTGTTCCCAAATCATCGACACCAGCAACTTCACTAGCAAACCTGATATAAAAATAAATAAATAAAACAGACCACGCGTTTACTTGTGCACTTTTCTTGGTGTCACTAAACCCACAACAGTAAAATCAGTCTGTATATGCAGTAAAAATGCTGGTTATACTCACTGTGGAACCTAAGGGGTTAATCCTTCACATTGGGTAAAATTGTTGCGATCCACCCTTTCTTCTACGGTCCCCAATCTATGTGCGGATAGTATGCAGCTCTAGGAGTCACTCGGCACAAACTCAGTTTTGTGTGTATGGCTAGAGTTTTTTCTCTTTGAGGGGGTGCATGTGAACAGCACTGTCCAGACAGAGGGTCAGGGGTCATTCAACCTCATAGGATAGTCAGAGCAAAATGAAAACTCCTCCTACAAGGTTTAACCATTGCTCAGCTGGACACTGATAGAAGCCACAAGACTGCTATATACTGCTGATGAGAAAAGGTATTTTGCAGTTTATCTTTACTAAAATAATTGCACTTCCATATTGTGTTTACTGTGGGAGACCAGATATAGTGAATGCAGAAACAACTGAACAAGCACTTTACCACAATGTACACTATATTGCCAAAAGTATTGGGACACCCCTCTAAATCATTGGATTCAGGTGTTCCAATCACCTCCATGGCCACAGGTATATAAAAATCAAGCACCTAGGCATGCAGACTGCTTCTACAATCATTTGTGATTTCAAGCGTGGTACCGTGATAGGTTGCCACCTGTGCAATAAGTCCATCCGTGATATTTCCTTGCTACTAAATATTCCACGGTCAGCTGTTAGTGGTATTATAGCAAAGTGTAAATAAATAAAATAAACTTAATTCTGCTCTGCTAATGTAAAATATACATACCAAATCATCAAACAATTGAATATGAAAACATCAGATATACATAAAATGTGCATAAATCATAAGAATAAACTGTCTATAGAAACAAGTCCATGTGAAAATAAAGAACGGTGAATCGTGAGTATACAGTTGTGCTCAAAAGTTTGCATACCCTGGCAGAAATTGTGAAATTTTGGCATTGATATTGAAAATATGAATGATCATGGCAATAAATGCTCTTTTATTGAAGGATGATGATCATATGAAGCCATTTATTATCAAATAGTTGTTTGGCTCCCTTTTAAATCATAATAACAGAAATCACCCAAATGGCCATGATCAAAAGTTTACATACCCTGGAATGTTTGGCCTTGGTACAGACACACAAGGTGACAATAACTAAATTATTGGTGGCACAACGTTTCTTTCGCCATTTTTGCCTATTAGTATATGTTTTACAGATTTTTTCATATTTTATTCTTTATCAATACAGAATGTCACTTTAACAATATTTGTGTTTTCACAAGTTTGTCGGCTATTTTTATAGCTTAGTCCCAAAATTTTAGGGACTTGAGTACGGTGTGTATATATACACTTTTGTATGTGGGCACCTGTCACATGTTGGTTGAACATATATGTGGAAGGACTTTTTATAGTCCTATGTTATTGTCTTTAGTCAGGATAATTTATCTCATTGTTTAGTCATTAAGGCACTATTAGGGTCAGTCATCGTTTCACTGTACATTCTTTGGGCATTAATTTATGCCAAGTGTTTATCATGCGAGGTTCAGTGATATACTGTATGTCATTTTACCCTGTGTATTGTTCTCCTTTTTTTTGCACTATTTAATTTCAATTTTTTGTATTCACATATATTGATTATTCATTGCATATGGTGTACACTTTTTTATGATTGCACGTTATTGTGAATAATTGATTATATTCACCTCAAAGTGGATTATACAAGGGGATTACTATTAATCCATTTTTGAGTATGCATTATATATAGGCTGTGTGTGGGGAGCGCAGCACCATTCTTCTTGTTGGGGATTTTTAGGGTGCCATCCAATAATAAAGCAATGACAAAAGCTAAAATTTACAATATTTAGAAATTAATCAAAATTAAAATATCGAATAAAAGAAATACAATGATGGGGAGGTGGTGTTAGTGGCGCTGGTGCTGTATTGGTGAGACTTTAATATTAATGTTTTAAGCCTGCAGCTGCCATTTTCTACTTTGTGGTCTCCCATAGATATTAACTCATTGTTTATTTCCACTTAATAGTGGCTTTATGTGTTTCTATCTGTGGACTTTGTCTCCACTTGTTTGAGGGTTGTTTGTCTCAATCAAAATGATGATCATCTGGTTTTTTGTTCCCCCCATCCCAATGGTGGTTTGAAAGTTGTGACAGAGGTAAGCCCCTCATTCCATAAAATGTTTACATTTTGTGCACCATGATAACTGCAGCATTATAGGTATTTACTATTTTACTTTATATTCATATTTCAGTACCCAGTTTGGGACATATGTTTCCCAGATCCTTTGGAGAGATCTATCTAAGCTAAACGGAACATTAACAACTATTCATGCTGCTTATTTATCTAGTCGTGTAAATGTAATCTCTTAAAGGCAGATTTCCTTCTATTGGTTTTAAGGGTACTTTTCTTTTTCAGATATTTTGTCAGTTTTCATTGTATGCAGATTAAGTTTATAGTTATTTTATTTATTTCAGGTGGTTATATAGCGCCGTCAATTTACGCAGCGCTTTTACATATATATATTGTATATTCATATCAGTCCCTAACCCTCAAGGGGCGTACAATCTATGGTCCCTAACTTACATTCATATACACATACTAGGGCCAATTTAGACAGGATCCAATTAACCTACCAGCATGTCTTTGGAGTGTGGGAGGAAACTGGAGTACCTGAAGGAAACCCACACATGCATAGGGAGAATATGCAAACTCCAGGCAGGTGGTGCCGTGGCTGGGATTCGAACCAACGACCCTAGTACTGCCAGGCGGAAGTGCTAACCATTTAGCCATTTAGTTTCTTTATTTCATTGCCCAATACAGCTTGTGTGTCCCTCCAGCAGCCATGAGAAGCGTAATTTTGTATGGGCTATACAGAGGATTGAATGTCCAATCAAACTATACCACACTTTAGTCAATATATTATCTCGTATATCGTTCTCAATTCATGGGATATGTATGAATTGTTTGGCAAGTGACCCTCCATCAACTTTTGAAAATGTTTTACACACACACACTCTAAAGTTCTGAACTTGTTTTGATATTCCATATATGAACACAGTATATGTAACTTGGCAAATTTTGTAATGAATGTTTGTTGTAGGTGTTATATAAACATCTCCTGAAGAAGGCTGAAATAGGTGAAACATGTTGAGAAATTTTACACTGGAAACACTCTTTTGAACGAGTACAACCAATAATGTTTGGATACTGAAGTATATTTCTTTTATTCAATATTTTAATTTGATTTATTAATAAATATTGTAAATTTTAGCTTTTGTCATTGCTCTATTATTATATGGTACCCTAAAAATCCCATTATCTCCCCTCAATGTGGAGACGGTTTCCCCTTTTTCTAAACCAGGGGTGTCAAACTCTGTTTCATCGTGAGCCGTTTCAGCATTATGGTTGCCCTCAAAGGGCCCCTTGTATCTGTAAGACTAGATGTCCAGAGCACCCCAACCCTCCTTACATCAGACAGGGATGAACCTGGTTGCATGTTGCACAGAGAAGTACAGGATCTAGCAGGGGAGTTCTGTCCTCTTTTCTGCTTCTAACCGACTACAAAGACAAGGTGGGGATAGAGACAAAGGGGGTTCTGCAGAAGCAGGAGAGGTGTGATGGCCATAAGAAAAAAAAAAAAAAAAAAAAATCGGCAACAGTATTTTTGTGCAATAAAGTTGATTTTATGGCAATCTTTGAATTAAAAAAATGTAATAAGTAAACAGTTATACTAATAAAATTAGTTTTAATAGTGTATTTTTTTTATATGCGTTTGATAGACAGCTGCCTTAATTAAAAAAAAAAAAAGGCCACTGTTGCAATTTTATTCTCAAGGGTCTCTAATTTAAAAAAATATATAATCATATTTTCAGGTTTTAACTAATCTCCATGCCAAAAATATGTATTTTAACAGTAGAAAAACACCAAAACAGAAAAAAAAAAATCCAAAATCTCAAACATGCCAAGAGTTAGCCAGTAGAGCAGCTTAGCAGACGGTCCTAAACAAATATGTCAAAGGTTGACCCAGACCACCTTTAAGTGTATGGACTGACTCTTTAAGAGCATGCAAAAAAAAAAAAAATATAAAGCAAGTGGGATTTCTTTTATAAAACAAAGTTACCTAATGCATCGAGTACACTGAATGCAGCGTGTCATTATGGTTTTCACCAATGGCCCGATATTCTTGTCCTCCACAGCACGTTTTCCCTCTGTAAACCTACTCCTGTCACTTCCAAACATCATTGATTGATCCTGGAGGATTAAAGAGGACAAGAAAAAATATTTACATTTCTTTACTGATAATTACTATTGTTGGTAATTATAAAAGCAAACACCTGGCACCTTAAAAAGAAGTCATTCCTAACAGAAACAAAGTTGCTGCAACTTCTCACTTTCTTCTAAAAAAGTTCCTTGGCTGTTATGCTGACCCCTCTAGTATTAATACTTTGAGTCGCTGACCTGTAACCACTGATTAGATAAGTTAAAAAATAGCCAGCTTGAATGTTTCGGCACAAGAAAACGGATACAAGTTGGCGACACGTTGGTACAATACACCTTCTAGAATCCATCATTTTAATCCATCCAGACACAGTATTTGTTGGAGATGTGGGGCTCCTGTTGGATCTCTTCTTCATATCTGGTGGGACTGACCTATGGTTCAGCCCTTTTGGCAGGAGGTACATCGGATTACTTCTTCGGTGTCTACTCTTGATATTGAGTTCTCTCCGGCCCAACTCCTCCTCCACCACACTCCGCTTCCCAAAGGTCTATATTTCAAATCTCTGGCTATGCATATGCTTAACGCGGCCAAACTCTGCTTACCGGTTCTCTGGGGGTCTGTTCACCCCCCCACAGTGCGAGATTGGTTCATACGCTTGAACAGAATTGCTGAAATGGAAGAGCTGATTGCTTCTTCTCTGGATAACCCTACTAAATTTTCTCATACGTGGTCCTGTTGGATTCACTTCCGAACGACCCCTGAATATCGTTCTTTCATGGGCCTTGCTGATTGATTCTGAATCTCTCAGATACCCCGTAGTGTTTCTGGCGATATATCGGCTCTCTATTTTTTCAAGGTTGTGATTGAAGTCCTTTGTCTTGATGTCCTGTACTGCTTGGAGCAAGCTACGCTTGGCACCGATACGCCTGCGACTGTCCCCAGCTCGCTTCTCTGCCAGGGTTGCGCGTATCTCTCATGTCCTGGGAGTCTAGAGTAAAGGTGACTTACCTACCCTCCTAGTCCTCCACACCTCCTCCCCGTCCAACCCATCCCCAACCCCCCCATCTCCCTCCCTCACCCCCCCCCCCCCCTTTTTTTTTCTCTTTTTCTTCTTCTCCTCTCTTTCCTTTTTTTCATGCTTATTCCTAAATTCTTAATCCCCATTTCCATGCTTTCTTACTCAGAGTTTAGCTTTCATTCTCCCCTTTCTATTTAGGTACACTTCTCTACTCATAGGAGCCCTACTCCCTATCTGCAATCCAGCTGCGCATATGTTTTACTTTTACATATCTCCTTTCCCGAACCCTTTACCCACATGCTGGCAACCTGTAGTGGGTTACCTCAGTTTCATCAAAAGTACAAGGCCATATCCTACAAGCCCTTGCACCCCCCCCCCCCCCCCCCCCTTCACACCTACTGTATACATTTCCAATGCATACCTTTGACTCACTGGCCCTGCTCTTTGCTACTGCTCGGTAACTGAGGTTATATATCATTGACCCTGCCAGTGCTGTGATTCCAATATGCTGAATAAGGGCTTGAGACCAGGTATGCCTTTAATGTTCCTGCGCTCGCATGTTCTCATTTTTCCCGTTTTCTTTTCCCTGGGATGACTTACGTCTGATTCTTTGTCTATGTATTGCTATGTATCTTTTTGTTCGCTGTATGTGCATTACCTCCTATTGTATTTCCGACTGATACCTTATATTACCTGTACTTATTGTATGCTCTGAGTTTATTAATAAACTTTATGGAAAAAAGAAAAAAAAAAAAAAAAAAGCCAGAAGTCCTAACCTGCACGCTTGATCTTGGTTAGGAAAGTCCCTTTCACTTTCTACCTTCACTTTTTTGGGAGAAAGCCTTCACTTTCTCCCAAAAAAGCTTTCCTTTGAACAACATACAGTTTGCATTGTCATTTTTGGAAACAGATATGATTTTTTTTTTTTTTACAATGCTACAAGGTTTTAGAAGCAGGAATCTGTACAGACTCTGTAAACCAATACTAATCCCTGAAATAGAGCAAACAATTTAAATTCACACTGCACTACATCGAATCACCATAGAATGGACTAGCAATATCACACTATGGTTTTGAATTAAATATCTATTGCCATGCCGAGTTCCTGCCATGAATAAAATCATTGTTCCCATGCACCTACATGTAACCTGAAGCCTAAGAAAAATATTCACAAAGTCTCTGGCTACCATAAGCTTTGGAAGTTTTTAAAATTAGTTACACTCCTGAAAGTCAGTAGCTTACAATCATTTGCACCACAACATTTTTAGTTTCATGCACTTTTTTTCTTTCTTTAGATCAATTTAAAAACATGAAAATGTCTGCACTTTCTAATGCATGCTGATGCCTGAACACATGGTTTAATATAAAGTTTTTACGCAGGTCGCAATGCAAGTTGAGTATTCATTGATTTCAATTTGTGTATTGAAAGCACATTAAGCCCTGGTGAAGTTGCACAATTGCAAAGTTGCATGTCAGTGCAACTTCAGGTTCAACTTGGCAGGCATCTATACGATTTCACTTACAAATGTCAATGCAAGTCATACCAGAAATTGTCAAAAGTAGTGCAGGAACTACTTTTCAAATCAAAGATTTAGAACTGAATAGAACAGTTCCATTGCCGATCATAGGGTGCGGCTTGTCATGCGATTTGACAGTGTCAAATCGCATGACAAGTGGCACCGGTGTGAACGAGGGCTAAGTGTAAATGCAGCTTTACACTTACAGGAGGATAAGAGGATCAGTAATGGATAATCACTAAGCAGCAAAACTATCAGAAAGTTGAGCTGGCATATGTAAAAAGCATAAATGGCTGTCCTGATGCTCAATTTGTACAAGTGACACACAGACACATGGGGGGTTAATTACTAAAACTGGACAGTACAAAATCTGGTGCAACTCTGCATAGACACTAATCAGCTTCCAGGTTTTATTGTCAAAGCTTAATTGAACAACCTAAAGTTAGAAGCTGATTGGCTACCATGCACAGCTGCACCAGATTCACAGTGCACCAGTTTTAGTAAATCTCCTCCACAGACTTTAAAGATCGATATGCTCTGATAAGCTTTAAATTTGAATATAAGCTTTACTTTTAAAGCCAGCAATACATAGAAATTCATCTGGTTCAGTAAGGACTGGCCAAATTTTGATCCATGTATGGGCAGGCTGGTTGTACAGAAGTTGATCTACAGATAGACTAATGTACAACCAGCCTGCTGGATTTTCTCCATTCGATCAGTACCGCTATAGCCAGCGTAGTGATCAGTGTATTCTGATGGTGGGGAAATACAGGATACAAAAGGCAAAGCAGGGAGGATCCCCCATCCACCTCTTGTGTGGATGGGGAAATCAAGTCATTTTTTTTTCGTTCAACACGCTGGTTGAAAATAAAAATAAAAAATTACTTATCTTTGACCTGCTTAACCACTAGCCTACAGGGAACTTATACCCCCTTGCTGCCCAGGCCAATTTTCAGTTTTCAGCACTGTCACACTTTGAATGACAATTGCGCGGTCATGCAACACTGTACCCAAATGAAATTTTTATCATTTTTTTTTTTTTTAGACAGAGCTTTCTTTTGGTGGTATTTAATCACCTCTGGGTTTTTTATTTTTTGCTAAACAATCCAAAAACCACCGAAAATTCTGAAAAAAAAAAGGTTTTTCTTAGTTTTTGTTATAAAATTTTGTAAATAAGTGATTTTTTTTTCTTCACTGATGTGCGCTAATGAGGCTGCAGTGATGGGCACTGATGAGGAGGCACTAGTAGGTGGCACTGATGGGCATTGACAGGCATCACTGATGGGCACTGATAGACAGCACTGCCTGGCAATGATAGGCGGCACTGACAGGCACAGATTGGCAGCACTGATAGGTAGCACTGACTGGCATTGATAGGTGGCACTGATAGGTGACACTGAAAGGTAGCTCAGATGGGCACTGACATGTGGCATTGATGTGCACTGGTAGGCACTGATATGTGGCATTGATGAGCACTGACAGCTGGCACGGATAGACACGGACAGGTGGCACTGCTGCGGCTACATAGATCATGTCCCTTCTGAGTAATGCCGTAAATGCATTTCCCTAATTACATGTGATCAGCTGTGATTGGACACAGCTGATCACATGACCAAGCCGACATCTTTGGCTCTTTCCGTTGATCGGTGATCCGCTGTGTCCGAGGGACACAGCGCACCACCGATCACTAAGCTGCGTGCTCCCGGAGCTGAGAATGCGCAGTTAGAATGAGGGGACGTCATAGGACGTCCTCCCAGAACGAGAGAACCGCCTTGCGCCCGTCATTACCTTGTATGGCGGGCGGCGGTTAAGTTGCTTTCTCACATGTGTTAGAAAACACGTGAGACACAAACATAAATGAATCCACTGTTTCCTTTTAAATCCACAGTTTCCTTTTAAACTAGCAAGTATTTCTCCTGTGAGCAGATGTATTCCCTAAATGCTAACACTTTAATTTCATTAGCCCTGACAGTTGAGAACAGATAAACCTACCAACCACAAAAGAAAAAAGAAGGGTCACTGTTTAGTGCCAGATCGCCTGTGCACATAAAAGTGTTAGTTATAAAGACTTTGTCTGTACCTCTGAAAGAACTGTACTTCTCAAAAGTATCTCAAACGGATCTCAATTGACAGACCAATGCACCCAAAAACACAGGCCATAAATTATACTTAAGGCTTTAAAGTATATTAAAAAAAAAAAAAAAAAAAAAGAAGGTTTTGCCTTTAAAAGTTTTAGATAGCCGGGAGATGGATTAGAACACCTATCAGTTTTTATTGCTGTCTGTGTTACCAAGTCACCCTATTTGTCTTGTTTACCATTATCATTGAAAGTGAAAGTAAAAAAAAAAATCCCATATTTTGGGTTGTCCCCAGAAAAGTAATCGAGATGAACTATTCCAATGGGGACAAAAGTTCTGGTGACCTGGGGGCCCCCAAAGGATTCCCTTAATTTGCAGAGATTTTTTCTCACTTCCTGTTTAACTATGATACAGGATGTGAAGGTTAACCTCCCTAATGTGACAAAGATGGCAAAAATAAACCTTACAGGTGTTAAAACCCTCCCTTACTCTATTCAAAATGGAAAAAAAAAAAAAGTTTTGCCTATAGTTCCCCTATCAGAACACAATAGCTTAGTGACGAGAGCACCACACAAACATCAGATGTGTTAATATGGTGATCTGCAAGTTTTTTTCGCTCAGCCCACTGGGATGAAGGAAAAAAACTTAATCTGTTTTTCCCCCGAATTAGGATGCTGCAAACCTATTTTCACTTATGCACTTAATTTACCTGCAGATCACATTCCCCTCCTTGATCACAAATGGGACAGTCCAAAGGGTGGTTTGCCAGCAAGAACTCCATTACTCCTTCCCTAATTTATTAAAAAAAATAAATAAAAAAAAGTAGTTTACATTCAAATTACATACTAGTATATCATTCTTAACTTAGCCAGTAAGCAATGTAATATGTAAGCTTCTTTAAATAAAATACAAATACACTTAAAGCTGGACTACAGGCAGACTTTAAAAATACACAAAATTAAAGTGGATCTAAAACCAAAACATTGTTTACCACAATGCATTCCCTGCATTAAAGGTAAAAAATGCCCCAGTAGCAGTATCATCCCCTCACCCCCTGTATACTTACCCAAGTCCTCACTTAATCCAGCGCTGTGCCCATCTGTAGTGGCTCTCTCTCTGCATTTATAGGACAGATAGGCAACAGCAGGAGCAAATCCTGTGAGCAGAGAGCAGGGAGTGTCTATAGATGCACATAGCCTGACTCTGGAGCAAGCGGCTGGCTATGGTGGCAGACAATGAAGGGAGGTTTGGGGCCACTCTGTGCAATTTCATTGCACAAAGCAGGTAAGTATACCACGTTTGATATTTTAAGAGGAAAAAAAAAAAAAAAGCCTTTATGCCTGCTTTAATGCAGTGCTGACAGATGTGTATGACTAGCAAAGGCCACCGAATTGGTACACTTCAATGACAGGTTGTTGGTGGCCGCAGCTACTTGTGGATGTTCACACAGTCAGCGATTACCCATTGTGATCACTGGATGCACACAGAGTCCTGCAGCAACCACCTTGGGTGAACACTGGTTTTGTGAACAGCCTCGAAGAACTGTGGCGGCCTACCTGTCATTGATGTTTACAAGCTTGACGGCCACCTCTAAAGGCTCACACCTGTCAAACACAGTGGCAGGAATCAGTAGATTCCTGCAGCTCTCCGATCTGAACCGTGGCAAAATGCTCATATAAATGTAGCCTAATACATCAAAATTGAAATCAGGAAAATCTAGTTACACTTGCAGCAGAGTGTTCCCCACCGCAAAGATCAAATGTTCACTCTGTCTAGGGTAGTACAGAAAAGCAGTTTTACTTACCTTACTCCTCATTCCCCCTGCAGATGGCACTTTCCTCTTCTCTCCAACACTTTGAGTTGTGGTCAGACTCTCAACATCCTTACTTACAATGCAGGACTGCTGGTTCTGCATTGTACGTTATAATCTCAGGGAACCTGTGGCCTACAGAGTGTCAAAGGGAAGTGGCTTCAGTCACACGGAGAGGACAAAAGTTGGGAGAGTAAGAAGATAAGAGAAGTAAAATTGCTTTTTAAAATGGAGCCCTAGGGATAAAATAGCAATTCATCCTTGCAGTGTGGGGTAACTTCTGAATTTCCCCCAGTGTTCAACTTTAGATTTTTTTTTGTTTGTCTGTTTGTTTTTTTTTTTTAACGCAATTACTGCCTGTCAGACTCCCTCAAGAGTTGGTTCCGGCCAGTTCAGTGGATTGCTTCAAAAAAAAAAAAAAAAAAAAAAAAAAAAAAAAGGCCTGGATTCTTTCTTAGATACGCAGAATATAACTGGATACTAACATTTATAGGTAAAGTTGATCCAGGGAATATCCGATTGCCTCTTGGGGGATCAGAAAGGAATGTTTTTTTCCAGCAGGAGCAAATTGGATCGTGCTTTGCTGGGGTTTTTTTGCCTTCCTCTGATCAACTGTGGGTATAGGATTTTAACTTTTTTTTTTTCTTTATGGTTAAACTGGATGGACTATTGTCTTTTTACAGCCAGACTAACTATGTAACCTGAATTTGACTTTGTATCAGTCTTTTGGAATCATCTGTAAAGCAGTGGTCACAGTGAGAAAGGGAGAGGCAGGACTAGGAGTGTGCTACCAGCAAATGGGCTGACAAGGAACATGCTGATAGAAGGAAAAGTCAAAAATAACAGATTGATAACCTCATCCATCTGCTGCAGTTATTTCACTGTCCAGTCAGTAGGCCCAAAACTGTAGCAAAGAAAATTGTGTCATCCACCCACAGTGCTATGGGACAGGGCTGCGTATATCCCAAAATGTGATGTCCCAAAATACAAACCATTTGGTAGACAAAATGTAAAAAATGAATTCTGTATATTTAGCTGTTTTACCTGGAGTTCAGCTTTGCTTTCCAAAACAAACACACATAAAATACAGAATTAGCTGACAATGACTGTCAAGAATTGCACCAACAGTAGATCTTGTATTTGGAAATTTACATACCTGGCTTTCCTACTCTTTTCAGAGTTAGTAAGTATGTTCCAGCCTTTCATCACTGGCATTGCACAAGCAGCTACAGGCTGTGAAGACAGAAAAGTAAAAATGTACAATGTTTTCTTAAATGTATACTATTTTATGTGTTGCCTAAAGAGTGTATAGAAGAAAATTATTTGCCTGTTTGTTCTCTCAATCTGACAGGAACCTGAACACAACAGGAAATGGGGGATACGTTTCAGTTTTAACCATTGAGCTTGGTAAATGGGCTTTATTGGGCAAGCACTACACAAGTCCAGAAAGAGCAAACATAAAATGGAATATAAAAGCTGTAAGCCTTTGTATAAAACTGAAACAAACTGGTTTGCGGCTGTTCTTGCAGCTGTGAGCGGTTCTAAACCACTTGACAACCTGGACAGAGCACATATATCCAAATACTACAGCTTGAAATGAAAATATTAAATATTTATTTGCAATATTTTGTGCCAACCTCGTGAAAAACCCCTAAATATATAAATTTGTTGTCCTGACCATAATAAAGCGTAAAAAAAAAAAAAAAAAAAAAAAGGATATACATTTCCAATAAGTATTAGGCTGGCCATACACTAGTAGAATTTCGTATGAAAATTTAAATTTCCAGAACATTCAATTTTCTGATGGTTAATGCGCTCAAAATCGACACACGGTTTCAAAAACCTTTCAAAAGGAGGATAGAAAAAGTCTCAAGCATATGAAATTCTAACTATAAATATAGTTTTTGTTAAAAACAAAAAAAAAAAAAATCCCACAACAATACTGTATGCCAGTGGGGGAAAAAAGGTTCACGCGTATCCCGCTAACTACAGAGCTTTATCATGGTTATGAATAAGTGCTGAGATTAGCACGATATGTGTGAACCTTTTTTTTCCCCCCACTGGCACGCAGTATAGTTTTTTTTTTTTTTTTATTCCATAACATTTATTAGGATCAAAGATACAGAAAAAAAAATCAAAAATATAACATAGAGGAGATAGCAAAAGAATCGCAGTGATCAAGTCAGGTAGAAAGGCACAGTGTTTTAGATGATACAATTTGTCCGAAATACACAATCAGCCTATACCAAAATGGAGAATGGGAACTGCAAGGGATTACCTCCTGAATAAAATAGAGGAAAGGCTATTCCTAATTGCGGTTTTGGGTATGGGGCTCTCATGAGGGCATGGATCTCTAACTGATCGAGAGGCAGTATACCCTGAATTCGTTGGAAGGTCAGTGGGAGGTGAAGCGTGACACAAAACCCAGTAAATCTACGTAGAAGGGGATTGCGGATCGGGATCTATAGTAACTTTATATTAAGTCAAGGAGTATGTATCTTGTTTACCAAAATGATATGTGTGTCTATCAAGATCATCCGAAAAAAGTCAAGGGAAGTGCAAATGATAGTGTAACTATGTGGGGAAGGAAAAAAAAAAAAAGTAGGAAGTTAGCAGAAAGCGGGAAAGGTGGGAAGAATCGAAGCAGGAAGTGACTAGGAAAGGGGTAGGGGCAGAAAGAAGAAGTAAGTAGAGGGAATGAAAGGGAAGGGAAAATGGATTGAGAGGAAATAAAAAAAAAAAAAAGGGGGGGGGGGGGGGGCAGAGCATAGGAACAACTCAGAGAGGGGTCGAGGCTGTGATCATTTCATCAGGGGCCAAGCAAGTGGCCAGTTTGCGAGTATGGTGTTTTTAAGCTGCTTATCTATACAATAAAGTGGATATGTGCTTTAGTGCGGCCTTCTGGACTTTCCTTTGATCTATAGCACAGGTGTGCGAACTGTGCCAGAACACAAGCTGAAGGGCTGTGAAGTGTGGAGTGGTGGTTAAGCCTACCTGGAGAAGCGCTACCTTCTCTAAGGATTTCTGATGAGAATTTTCATACAAAATTCTACTAGTGTATGGCAGCATTATAGGAGTAGTATGGGATATGCCAAATTAGTAGCAAATATTAGCATAATCGTGAATCAGCTGTTATTTCCTTCCTACCTTCTTTTGTTTTCCTAGCAGGGGCACTTCATCTGTCATGTATGTACCAGAAACAGTCCATTCACTGTTTAAAAATTTAGAGGGGGCAGTTACAACTAATGCAATCCATCCCTTCGTTCTGTCCCTCCTCCACTGGGAGATGTGGCCATGCTTACTGAATAGGCACACACCTGAACAGTAAACAGGTACAGGCACTGTGCTATTCCTCTGCATAAAACTGAAAAATGCAGCAGTGTTATAGACATGGCTGGCCCTAGGGGGAGGTGTTGGGGAGGGCTGTGCACCTCCCCTCCCCAGATTTCCGTTGTTCCCTCCATCTCCCATGGATGCTGTGCCCATTGAGCTCCTTCTCATATCCCTGCACTTCACACAGTCTGGGCACAGGCAGCTCAGTTCCTCTCCCCTTCCCTTCTCCTTGCACACAGCTCAGATCAGATTCTCTTACAGACAGCCTCTAACTGCTCACTGAGTAGCTGCCTGCTATGCTGAAGTTCTGAACTGTGAGGTTTCCAGATAAGACTGGCTGTGCAGCATAGAATCCAGCTACTAAGTGTGAAAATAGAGAGCTGTCTATAAGACAACTCGATCTGAGCTGTGTGAGATGAGGAGGGAGGACGAGAGGTGCTGTGTTAAGTCCTGAAAGTGAGCAGACAGCCCAGAGTCAACATTAAACAGAGGAGAAGACAAGATTGTTGGCATGAAAATATAAACAAGACTGTAGCCCCTCCACAGGTATTTTACCTTGATTTTAACAGAAAGGGTGCATGTCTCAGAGGGCTGGAAATGTGTGTATGTACTAGCAGCTCACAAGCAATAGGATAAAAAAAAAAAAAAGAAAAAAGGAAATCCATACTTCTCTAAACAAATCACTACACGCTTACATATAACGGTCAACAAAACCCTTTAAAAACTACCGGTCACAAGTTAGATAACATTTGGTACATCCGGTACATTGAACATATAGAGATACAGACCTTGGGGGCTTTCTCAATTTCTACCAAACACATGCGACAGTTCCCAGCCACTGACAAACGCTCATGGTAGCAAAATCGAGGTATCTGTACACCCAATTTTTTCACATGCCTAAATATGAATAATAAAATAATAATTAAAAAAAACACTACAAATGCATTGTTATTATGGGAAACATATTTTAAAATACAGATAAAATAAATTATGTAAGAGAAACGTTAATATATACTACATGCAAAACAGGCAAGAAAAAAAAAAGAAAAAAAAAAAAAAAAAAAAGCACTTTGTAAGGATTTTTAAAAATATTAATGTTCTTGGCATGAGACCAGAATAAACTTGTACATCTATTCATAATTCAACGTTATACAAAATCTCATTTTTAATTTAAAATATATCAAAATTTCTTATAATAATTAATAATATTAGAGTTATAGGGGAACACTAGGTAGGCATCTCATTTACAAGTTATCTCTTGGGTACACCCCAGTGAGTGCTCACCAATATAAAACTCCCAGCTCTTCTTCTACCCCTACTTGGAAGCACCTATTTTGTAAAAGAAGGAAAATGCTACAAAATAGCAGCTAACCCATAAGTTAAAAAAAGAGTATATCTAAAGGCATTTTCTTTAGTTTTGGATAGAGTGGAGAGGTATTGGAACACTTGTCATATTTTATTGCTGTGTCCCCATTAGGAAGATTTGCCCTCTGTATTTGTCATCATTGAAAGTGAGAGTAAAGGAAAATTAAACATTTTTGGTTGTCCCCCAGAAGAGAAATAGAAGAGAAATCGTCCAATGGGTACACTAGTTCTTGTGAACTGGGTGGCAACCAGGGATTCCCTCATTTTGAAGAAATTTCCTCTCACTTCCCGTTTTGGCTATGGGGCAGGAAGTGAAGGAAAATCTCCCTAATGTGATACAGATGGCAAAAAAACAAACAACTTTGCCTTTAGGATCTTTTTATTTGTGGATAATTTGGTGCAACATGTTATGTGGAAAGTAAAGTTTACATATAACAGCCCCAATAGCCCAGACACCTTCATTGATATAAAAACACAAAAAAATGTACAATCAGCCTTCATGCAGTCTTCAGCTCTGGTACCTACTCAGATTCTGGTAATATTTGCCATCTCCCACTAGCCTGTGTGGTTGTGCAGGGTTGCAGAGCAGAGATCCAAATATACTGTATGTCCCATCTAAGGCCTGTGGTTGTATGTCAATGACATGACTGGGGGGTAGGGAGCATTTGTGTCTAAGCTATAAACTTTTAACTCTGCTTTAAAGTGGTTGTAAACCCTTACATATACCCAGTGAGGTGACTAGTCTCAGGCAATACACAGATGAAACAAATCCTCATACATACACAGTTATGGCTAAAAATATTGGCACCCCCCACATTTCTGTCAGATAATGCACCACTTCACCCAGAAGATTCTTACAATTACAAATGTTCCGGCATTCTCATGTTTATTTGTTTTGTTTGTATTGGTATGAAACAAAAAAGTGGAGAAACAAAAAGCTAAAACTTCAAAAATGGACTCAATATTATTGGCTCCCTCAAATTAATATTTGGTATCACACCCCCCCTTGGAAAAAATAGCTGAAATTAATAACTTCCTGTAACCATCAATGAGTTTATTTCACCTCTACTCGAACTTTGCGCCAATCTTCTTTCGCCAACTGCTCCGGGTCTCTCAGATTGGAAGGGTTTCTTTTCCCCAACTGCTGTTTTGAGATCTCTCCACAGGTGCTCTATGGGATTGAGATCTGGACTCATTACTGGCCAGTTCAGTACTCTCCAGCGCTTTGTCTGAAACCATTTCTGGGTGCTTTCTGATGTGTGCTTTGGGTCATTGTCCTGCTGTAAGACCCATGACCTCTGAAGATTACCAAAGAATTCTGATGTGCAATGTAGGGCCCAGTGTCCGAAAGTTAGGTCTGCGTCAGATTTCATAATGCCATGCATACAGTCAAGACATCCAGTGCCTGAAGCAGCAAAGCAACCCCAAAACATCAGTGAACCTCCACCATGTTTGACTATAGGGACTGAATACTTTTCTTTAAAGGCCTCGTTTATTTTTCTGAAAAACAGTAGAATGATGGGCTTTACCAAAAAGCTGTAATTTTGTTTCGTCTAGCTGCCCATTTTCCCAAAAGAATTTTGGCTTCCTCGGGTTAAGTTTTGGCAAACTCCAGTCTGGCTTTTTTAGGTTTCTGCATCAGCAGGGGCTCCTCCTGGGTCTCCTACCGTAGCATCCCTTTTCATTGTGATGGTAACGTACAGTGCGAGCTGACACAGTTGTACACTGTTCCTGAAGGTCAGCTTGAATTTGTCTGGAAGTTGATTGAGGTTCTTTAGCCACCATTCGAACAATCCTTCATTGCAATTTTTGATCAACTTTTCTCTTTCGTCCACGTCCAGGGAGATTAGCTACAGTGCTTCTTCTTGACAATGTTGCACACAGTGGAAGCAGGAACATTAAAGTGGTTGTAAAGGCTCAAGGTTTTTTACCTTCATGCATTCTATGCATGAAGGTAAAAAACCTTTGGCGTGCAGCAGTGCCTCCAGTCCCCCTCAATACTTACCTGAGCTCCAACGCGATCTAGCAATGTGAACGACTGCCTCAGCTGTCCCCGGTCTCTGCCTCCTCATTGGCTGAGACTGCAAGGCGAGCCATTGGCCCCTCTGCTGTCAATCACAGCCAGTCAGCCAGCCAATGAGAAGGGGGGGGTGCCAAGCCGTGGCTCCGTGTGTGAATGGACACACGGAGCAGCGGGTGCCCCCATAGCAAACTGCTTGCTCTGGGGGCACATGACAGGAGGAAGGGTCCAGGAGAGCCTGCAGGGGACAAGAAAAAGAGGATTGGGGCTGCTGTGTGCAAAACCACTGCAGACAGCAGGTAAGTATGAACATGTTTGTTATTTTACAAAAAACAAAAATGAACCTTTAGAATCGCTTTAAGATCTATGGAGAGACTTGTAACTTTGAGATTGTCCATGCTTTTCCACAATTTTTTTGTTCTCAAATCCACAAACAATTTCTTTGCTCTTTCTTTTCATGCTCCATGTGGCACAAGAAACAACAGAAAGGTTAAGGCTGGCCATACATTATACAATTATCTGGAGTTTTTTGGTTTAGATTTACCAAAAACCATATAATAGGAGGACAAACCTAAACAACACTTTCAGTTGTATCCAATTAGGCAGGCCCTTGCACTACACAGTTGAAGGTAAATCTAAAGGAAATTGGGCAGAAAATTGGAAGATAATTGTATAATGTATGGCCAGCCTAAGTCGATTGTTCACCATTTTAACTGGTTGCCAGTGTGCTTTCTATATTGTCAGCACCTGTTAATTAATACAGGTGAGTTTAATTACAAATTACAGGAGCATCACAAACTTGGAATGCAATTATTTCTTACAATTTTGAGAACATGCCAATAATATTGTACAATCCATTTTTGGGGTTTGCATAGAATGTGTCAGATTTGGCTTTTGGTTTCTCCACTTTTTTGTGTCTTACCAATACAAACAATAGACATAAACATAAGAATGCCTAACCATTTGTAATTGCAACAATTTTTTGAGTGAAGTGGTGCATTATCTTACAGAAATGCAGGGGTGGCAATATTTTTGTCCATGACTGTAAGTTACACTTGTTTATATCTGCAGTCTTCTCTTCTCTACATCTGTTCAAAGTTCTGAATTTATAAAGCTTGTCTTTGATTTCAGAAGAAAAGGGTGGAAAGATCAAATTACATGTTGCAGAGATCAGCGAGGAGAGCTCAAATCTGACTGCAGGGAAGAGACACCCCCCCCTCCCCACAGCACACAGGAGCAGAGCTGAGGCTGTCAATCTGCTGGAGGGAGGTTCTTCCCCTGTCACCGTTTTTCTCTTGATGTCAGGAAAACTTGTCAGAATTGATTCATGCTGATAGCAAAGGAACGACGCAGCGGACAAAAATGACACTTAGAGCTCTTAACCACTTGCCTATTAGGCACTTATACCCCCTTATTAACCAGGCCAATTTTCAGCGCTGCCGCACTTTGATTGACAATTGCGCGGTCATGCAACATTGTACCCATATGAAATTTTGATCATTTTTTTCTCACAAATAGAGCTTTCTTTTGGTGGTATTTAATCGTCACTGGGCGCTTTACTTTTTGCGCTATAAATAAAAAAATTGCAAAAAATTTGAAAAAAAAAAAAGTTTCTTTGTTTCTATTATAAAATTTTTCAAACAGGTAATTTTTCTCCTTCACTGATGTGCGTTGATGAGGCAGCACTGATGGGTACTGATAGGCGGCACTGATAGGCAGCACTAAACGGCACAGATAGGCAGTACTAATGAGGTGGCACGGATAGGCGGCACGGATAGACAGCACTAATGAGGTGTCACGGATAGGCGGCACTAATATGCAGCACTGATAGGCGGCACTGATAGGTGACACTGATGATGGATACTGATAGACGGCACTGACTGGTTATCACTGCTGGGCACTGACTGGCGGCACTGACTGGCACAACCGCTGGACACTGACTGGTGGCACTGACTGGTAGCACTGCTGGGCTGCACTGGTGGGCAGCACTGGTGGGTGGGCACAGGTGGGTGGCACTGGTGGGCACAGGTGGGTGGGCACAGGTGGGTGGCACTGCTGGGCACAGGTAGGTGGCACTTCTGGGCACAGGTGTGTGACACTACAGAGTGGCACAGGTGGGTGCACTGCTGGGCACAGGTGGGTGATCTGCTGGGCACAGGTGGGCGGAGCTAGTGGGCGCACTGCTGGGCACAGGTGGGCGGAACTTGCGGGTGCCACTGCTGGGCACCGATCATCAGGGCACTGATCATCAGTGCCCTGATGATCGGTGCCGATCCGCGCTCTGACAACTGCCGGTTCTCGGCAGTACTTTCCTCACGATCTGACAGCGTGAGGAAAGTGCAGCCGAGAACCGGCACTTGCATTTCCCTCTGATCAGCGTGTCATTGGACACCGCTGATCACGTGGTAAAAGGCCGCTGTGATTGGCCTTTTACCACATCACGTGATCAGCTGTGTCCGTGGGACACAGCGATCACGGAGATCGCCGGGTGCACGCGCCCTGGGGCGCGCAGGAGAGCGTGTTCTGGGAGGACGTCATATGACGTCCACTCAGAACTGGCCGGCCGCAGTGCAGCCGTCATTCGGCTATCTGCGGTCGGAAACAAGTTAACTGAGACAAGTACACACAAAGGCATATGTTTCGATCATATTTCACATAGGAGGTTTACAACTACTTCAAACTTTTTTTAATATAAAATGTTACATCATTTTCCCTACTACAATATTTTATTGATAAAAAGCACTAGAAAACTAAACAAGCATATATTACCTGCAGCACAGTGGTGCCTGGCTCAACCATTACAGGTTTGCCATCCACAAACACCTCCAATAGGTTGCTTGCAGCTGTAGTGGTAGTGCGTACTGAAATACATAGGAAGATATGCAATAAACATGGGGCAATGCAGGCAATATATAATAAAATAGAAATAAAATGTCTCAATATAGGAGGGATATAAAACAGTACAACCCTTAAAGTGTTATTAAACCCACAACAGTAAAATCAGTCTGTATATGCAGTAAAGCATATACTCACTGTGAAACCTAAGGGGTTAATCCTCTGCATTGTGTAAACAGGATGTTTGATCCTGTCTTCTCTGATCGTCCCTGTCTTTTATTGTCCCCAGTCCACCTGCTGATAGAACAGAGCCCAAGGAGGCACTCTGCACATGCTCAGTTTGGTGTGTATCGCTAGAAAGTTTATTTTGTGGGTGCCTGTGATCAGCAAAGGGCTAATCAGTGCTGTCCAGACAGTGGGTCAGGGGTCATGCAGAGTCATAGGACAGTCAAGTGAGAATGAAAACTCCTCCTACAAGCTTTAACCAGTGCTGGGCTAGACTCTGACGGAAGTCACAAGACTGCTATATACTGCTGATGAGAAAAGGTATTTAGCAGTTTATATTTACTAAAATAATTGCATTTCCATGTTCTGTGTACTATGGGAGACTAGATATAGTGAATATAAAAGAGTATGCAGTGCTAATAAAAATAATAATAATAAAATCAAATGAAAAAAATCAGATACATAAGTTGCACAATAGCATATGTGAAGATAACTCAGTCCATATTACGTGGTGAGATAAAGTGATTATGTGCAATTGTCCAAACAATCCATGATCAGGGATAACCGTGACTCTTGTGTTCTTGTGAATGTACAAATAATGCACTAACCAGATAGTGCATAAACTGCGCGTGGAGCAATTAAGACCCGTTCCTGGTGCTCTGGACTTGTGATACCAGGAAGATGTCATCTGCAGGTTAGCCACTAGATGTCATCAATCCAGGTGTATTCGTAAGCCATCCACCAGGAAAATCATCAGCGCGGGAGGGGGGAGTCACACATCACTCCAAACCAACAGGAACCTTCAAAAGCGGGCTCCCATGGAAATGATGAGCCCCAAAAAAGCTTCTGATAGTGTAGTATTTCTTTAATTAGCAAAATTTCCTCAGAGGAAGTGTTATTTACACGAAACGCGTTAGGAAGGTGCCCCTGACCTGTGTACTTATACCACAAGGCTATGCTGACTGACACCCTGGTGGCCAGATCTTATCCTGGATGTAAGTTTTATCCCTTATCTGTACATGCTGAAATTTTGCTAATTAAAGAAATACTACACCATCAGAAGCTTTTTTGGGGCTCATCATTTCCATGGGAGCCCGCTTTTGAAGGTTCCTGTTGGTTTGGAGTGATGTGTGACTCCGCCCTCCCCCGCTGATGATTTTTATGGTGGATGGCTTACGAATACACCTGGATTGATGACATCTAGTGGCTAACCTGCAGATGACATCTTCCTGGTATCACAAGTCCAGAGCACCAGGAGCAGGTCTTAATTGCTCCACGCGCACTTTATGCGCTATCTGGTTAGTGCATTATTTGTACATTCACAAGAACACAAGAGTCACGGTTATCCCTGATCATGGATTGTTTGGACAATTGCACATAATCACTTTATCTCACCACGTAATATGGACTGAGTTATCTTCACATATGCTATTGTGCAACTTATGTATCTGATTTTTTCATTTGATTTTATTATTATTATTTTTATTAGCGCTAGATACTCTTTTATATTTTCCACTGGGTTCCAAAGGTTACCTCTTATGCTAGTGGCTTTATATTCATGTTCCCAGCGCTCAATTACCATTTTATATATAGATATACTGAATGCAGAGTTATGGGTTTAGTAACACTTTAAAAGTTAAAAGTGAAGTCCACTCTTTCAAAAAAAAAAAAAAAAAAAAAAGGTCTATGCAGTCAAGGGGCCCTAGTAAGTAAAAGAAAAAAACCCTGTGTGGCTTTGAAAAATAGCGATTAATGTTGTCCTGCCCATATTCTAACCAAATGGTAAAATATGTAGGATCATCCTCTGCTCCTAAAATTCTATTACCCGCTGTCTCTCTTCAGATTTGAGTGCCACGCAAAAAGGAGTTGTCTCCACTCTGAGATGAATGTAGAGGGGGAAAAATAAAAAAACAAAGCAAAAAAAACACAAGAGCCACACTCCGACAACGTCACTTTTGGTAAAAATCCTTTTCAATAAAGCCACAAAAACAAGTCCCCACCTTGGACTGCACACATTAACATGATTCATCAGAGGGTGTCAGTTGGTTGGAAGTCAAGAATAATGCTCCCTATGGAGACCTTCAGGATATTGTCTTACTTTTCGAATAACTTAGTGCTATCCCTGTTAACCTCCATACCAAATACAGCAGTTTGGGGGACTAGGGGGTGTTGATCCTGTCTGATTTATGTGTTAATCAGCCATGTACCTATGCCCAACGTTTGGTTTCCAAATGGGATTCTTCTATTGTTATTCACAACCCAGACAAGCCTTAAATACCCAATTTTAGGCCTCAAACATTTTAACATCCAAATACACTACAGCTGGGGCTATTAAATCTCAGGGGTCAAAGGGGCTGATGTCCACCTTATACTCTCAACTACTTTATACAACCTTAGCAAGTTAAGGATAGGTGGCAAAAACTAATGTTGTCCTTAACATCTGAAGATTTGGAATGTATTTGGAAATCCGATTTTTCAGTATCTCTGGCTGTCAATAACAAACTCATTCAACTGCACAGTATACTCCAAAAGTATCTGACACTGACCCGTCTACACAAAATAAGTCAGTTGTCCCACACAAACTCTCTGCGATGTCATCGACAGCCAGGCTTCATCTAACTGAAAAGGTTCATGCCCTGTAATCAGCACTTTTTAGCCCCAGGTGACAGGCTTGTCATCCCTGATTACAATGCCCATTCTCTGCTTCCCGGAGACTTGCCTGCTTGGTATCCTAAATGAGGAGTTGTGGCCCACTATATACAGATATTCTTGAGGCAACCTCAAGAATATCTGTAAGTCATTTGCTTTAAGGTGAATGCAATCAGCTCCACCTAATCTTCATCAATCTTTTGGTTTATCAAATAATCCCATATAAAATAAATTATCTATATTAATAGAAACTGTTGAAATAAATTTAATGAAGTGTGGGAGGCTTGACTTCTGTGGACAATGCTACCTTTTGACCCATATAAAAAAAGAGACAGTATGCGATTGACAAACGAGTTACTGGTTGAGTTACAGTTTCTACTGGTTTATCGCCGCACAGACATGGTCTTCGTATGCAACAAGAAATCTCCTGTACATGTCTATACTATGCTGTTACTTTTATTTCAACAAAACAAGTTAAAAAATGTTTTACTTTGTTGTGTACAATAACAGGAATAAACAAAATGATACAAATACTTACCATTATTTGTAGTCACTTGGGCAGCACTTGCTAAAGCCCTTTGAATTATAGGCAATCGCAGCATTGTGCTAAAAGAAAATAAAAAAAAGTAGGGTTTTAACAATAATGCTTTCTCACGATGTCAAATAAGTTTTTCGCAGAAGATAGATTTGTGTATGTCAAAATTTATTTTTTCAAACCTTTGGCTTGCATTAACATTATTGCCAATTAAAAATGAAAGTGATTCTAAAAGGATTTTTATTTGAAATAATAAACATTTCATACTTACCTGCTCTGTGCAGTGGTTCTGCACAGTGCATCCCCGATTCTCCTCTTCTAAGGTCTCCAGCCAGACCTCCTGACTCCCCTTGCTTTTTCGACCTCCAATGATGGGGAAGAATAGAGGAGAGAGCCACTGCTCTGGATTGGCACAGCGCTGGATTTAGGGCGCAGGTATAAGGAGGAGCTCCTGGTGTGTGTGTGTGAGGGAGGGGGGAAGGCTTTCTTAATGCATAGAATGCATTAAGGCAGGGGTGTCAAACTGATGGCTCTCCAGCTGTTGAGGAACTGGAAGTCTCATCATGCCTCTGCCTTGAGAGTCATGCTTGTAACTGTCAGCCTTGCAATGTACCATGGGACTTGTAGTTCCACAAAAGCTGGAGGGCTGCCAGTTTGACACCTGTGCAGTAAGTTAAGAAAACCATCTACCTTTAGAACCACTTTCTGTACAAAACGCTCTTCTGAAAAAAGAACCAGCATTTTTTTTTTTAAGCCCAGCATGCATGGACCCTAAATTAGCAGTCTTTAGCTTGTCAATCAGCCTCTGGTCATACCTCGTCCTGCCCACTGCTTTCTAGACTGGCCGCACTGCCTTTCTTGCAGAAACCCTTCCACTGAGATTTAGTGTCTGGGGTGGGATGGCGTGAGACACAAATGAAGTAAGATTTGCCTCAGTCAGGGAAGGGTTGCCTGATCTTATGAGAACATTATTTGTATCTGTTAGCTTTTAAGAAAACATTGAGAATGGTACATCCAATATGCAGTGGCTGTGTGATGTGGAAGTTGTGTGTAAATCACAAGACTACCTGTACAGAACTGGAAATCCTTTGGCAGGTAACATAGTGTTGACAGTTACAATGCTCTCACATATCACAACAGCAAGGCTAATGGTCTGAACTGACTGAACACAGTGTACAACTTTCTCACTCTCCAAGGGGTTGTCATGAAGGATAATGGGGGCTGCCATTGTTTGCCTATTTCCAAATATGCAAGTTGCCTTGTTGTTGCAGGCCAAAATAACTAGCCTGTGAAGAAAGCAGCATTATACATGTAGAAGCGCTCCCTTTACCAATTATATTTAGACCTTACTCCTTGGGCTGGTCAAAAAAGTGTTTTTCATATAAAAGTTTGCAAATAAATATTTCATCATAAATCTTGGGCAAAATGTATTCCGTTATCTTTTAAGTAAAAAAAAAAAAAATAACCCAAATTAGTTTATAACCAAAAATTATAATTTTTAAACTTTTTTTTACATTTTTATATTATTATGGTTTTTTTTTTTACATACTGTCACCCTAGCAGTACAGTGTCACCATGGTGACACTGTACTACTTGTGGGGAGTGATGAAGATTTTTTTTTTTTTTTTACACGGATTGCTTTTACACCCATAAAGGCTGTAAAAGCAATCATTTCTCCTTCTCTCTGGCTGCATTCTTGCAGCCATTGAGAACTACTGTGTGAGTTGTGATTGGTCACAGCTTGTCACATGGTACAAGGCTGTTGTGAATAGCCTTGTACCATGTGACCTCTGTGATCATTCACAGATTTCACATATAGTAAGCAATGATGTCAGAAGTGACTGGATGTTTTTGCTTACAGTTCACACCATACTCCGTTACGGTGCAGTTTTGATGCAGTTTGCTGTGTTCTAGTACAGTTCTGTGCAGAAAAGATGCAGCATGTTCTACTTTTTTTCCGGAACCAGAAACTGGCTGCACTGGTGTGAACTAGGGCTACTGAAATACATGGAAAACACTGTGAATGCATTTTTGATACAGAAAAAAACCCCACACTGGACTGCATCTAATGTGAACTATAGAAGGTAAATGGTTGTCATGCACAACTGCTTCAAATTCTGTCTGCTCCACATTTAATAAATCCCCCTCATTGTATTTTTCTCCAGAAAAGAAAAAAAAAAAAAGGTTTCTGTAAAAAGAAAAAAAAAAAACTAAATAAAAAAAAAAAACAAAAAAACACAAAAACATTAGCTAGTACAGAGCTTGATCTAGACTTGGCTTGTCACACAGCATACAATCTGATTGTACAGTCTCTGTACAATTTCCTTTACATTTACCACAACTATTAGTGATACACTAGGGATGTCCAACTCCTATTGCCCGACGCCTGGGACATGTAGTTCTGGGCGTCGGGCAGGTAGTTTTTTTTTGCCCTTAGCCCTGCTGCGGGCCCAAGACTGGTTCGGTGGATGCCGCGGGATGTGGTATAGGGCAGGGAGGAAGAGAGCGGACACATCTGCTTCCCTCTCCTGATCCAGATGTGATGTGACGTCACTTCCGGGTCCCAGTTCGACAGATTCCCATTGTACAGGGGAGACTTGCAGGGTCTTTTAGACCCTGCATGTCTCAAAAAAAGAGAACCTGTCACCAAAAATCATCACATAGGGGACTTTTTGTCCCATATGGGATTAAAAAAAAAAACTAAAAAAGTAATTTTTTTTTTTAAATGGAAGTTACACCCAAGCATATAGCACCCCCAAATTTTTCAAGGCCCCCCCCCCCCACATATGTACACGCACAAACGTAAAAGCACATACTCGAGCGCCTACACATGAAAACAACGATTGCGATACACATTACATATCACCGCGCATGCCAGAATGAGAGCAATAATTCTAGCACCAGACCTCCTCCGTACACTATACTGATGACCTATAAGGGGCTTTAAAAGTATCGCCTATAGAAAATATAGGGTACTAAAGTTTTTTGTCGTTTTAGGAGTGCACTCAAATTTAAGGTTTGACATGTTGGATATCTATTTACTCACTGCAACCTCGTCTTTTATATTATACAAAAAAAATTGGATAATTTATTCCTTTTTGTTACCCTAAAAATAACTTAAGTGTATTTTTTAATGAAAATGTGTTTTCCTAGACGTTTGTAATCTTTTAATTTAGTGTGACATAAAAAATTGGACCTACAGCTATTTTATGCTCTAGGGTCTCTGCTTTCAGAAAATATACAATGTTTGGGGGGTTTAGAGTGAAGGAAATAAGTATTTGATCCCCTGCTGATTTTGAAGGTTTGCTCACTCACAAAGAAATGATCAGTCTAAAAATCGAATGGTAGGAGTATTGTAACACTGAGAGACAGAATAGCAACAAATAATTCAAAAGAAATGCATGTCTAACAAATTATGCACTGATTTGCATGTTCATGAGGGAAATAAGTATTTGATCCCCTTCACAAAAACATGACTTAGTACTTGGTGGAAAATCTCTTGTTGGCAATCACAGAGGTCAGACGTTTCCTGTAGTTGGCCACCAGGTTTGCACACATCTTAGGAGGGATTTTGGCCCACTCCTCTTGGCAGACCCTCTCTAAGTTATTAAGGTTTGCTGACTGATGTTCAGCAACTTGAACTTTCAGCCCCCTCCACAGATTTTCAATCAGATTAAGGTGTGCAGACTGACTATGCCACTCCAGGACCTTAATGTGCTTCTTCTTGAGCCACTCCTTTGTTACCTTGGCTGTGTGTTTTGGGTCATTGTCATGCTGGAACACCCATCCAGGACCCATTTTCAATGCCCTGGCTGAGGGAAGAAGGTTCTCACCCAAGGTTTGACAGTACATTGCCCCGTCCATCGTCCCTTTGATGCATTGCAGTTGTCCTGTCCCCTTAGCAGAAAAACACCTCCAAAGCAGAATGTTTCCACCACCATGTTTGACAGTTGGGATGGTGTTCTTGGGGTCATAGGCAGCATTATTCCTCCTCCAAACACAGCGAGTTGAGGCCAAAGAGCTCGATTTTGGTCTCATCTGACCACAACACTTTCAACCAGTCCTCCTCTGCATCATTCAGATGTTCAGTGGCAAACTTCAGACGGGCTTGGACATGTGCTTTCCTGAGCAGAGGAACCTTGCGGGCACTGCAGGATTTCAATCCTTGGCGTAGTGTCTTACCAATTGTTTTCTTGGTGACTGTGGTCCCAGCTGCCTGGAGATCATTGACAAGATCCTCACGTGTAGTTCTGGGATGATTCCTCACTGTTCTCATGATCATTGACACTCCACGAGGTGAGATCTTGCATGGTGCACCAGACCTAGGGAGACTGACAGTTGTTTTGTGTTTCTTGCATTTGCGAATGATTGCACCAACTGTTGTCACCTTCTCACCAAGCTACTTAGTGATAATTTTGTAGCTCAGTCCAGCCTTCTATAGGTCTACAATCTTGTCCCTGACATCCTTGGACAGCTCTTTGATCTTTGCCATGGTGGAGAGTTTGGAATCTGATTGTTTGATTGTTCCTGTGGACAGGTGTCTTTAATACAGGTAACAATATGAGATTACCAGCACTCCCTTTAAGAGACTGCTTCTAATCTCAGCTTGTTACCTGTATGAAAGACACCTGGTAGTCAGAAAGTCTGCTGAATGATAGGGGATTAAATACTTATATCTCTCATGAACATGCAAATCAGTGCATAATTTGTTAGACATGCATTTCTTTTGAATTTGTTGTCACTATTCTGTCTCTCAGTGTTACAATACACCTACCATTCGATTTTTAGACTGATCATTTCTTTGTGAGTGGGATCAGCAGGGGATCAAATACTTATTTCCTTCACTGTATGTCATCTTCAGGCCTAAAATGATTTTTTAACACGTGTGAAAATAATGCAAAAACAGCTCTGGCAGCGAAAGGGATAAAGGATAAGTCCGATTCTCCCCCCCTTTCCTGACAAGCACCCAATCGGTGCTCATTACATTGCAAGGTCTCTCTCCTCCCTGCTAGTCCCCGGGTGCAGTGCTAGAGAGAGGCAGGTAGGGGGAGATAAACAGCGCAATGT